TAAATACTCGGCGCTCGGGCGATATAAATTTATTAAAAAATCATACAGCATTGATAGTGCCGGGACCTCTTTAGAAAATGCTTCAGTATGCTTAGAACTATTTGAAAAACATTTTACATAAACCGGAACTCCGAGATTTCGCACAACGTTTCACTCTGTTTTCTTCAAGTACTCGGCTCTCAGGTGGTATTAATTTATTTAGAAATCATACAACAATGCTACTGCCCGGAACTTTATAAAAAATACGCAATAGGATGGCTATAAGAGTCAAACGCAGTTGTCTATGCGTAGATGATCAGAATCACTGATTTATTCCAAATCCATTCCAAATGAATTACAATCGAACGTTTCAGCTCATAGATCGAGCCATCTTCAGCGATATCAAACGACGAATAAAATTAAAATATTGCACAATTCTCCATTCCAAAGCGTTGTCTCCCATCGCTGCCGATATGGTGATGCAAGATCTGGAAAGTAGGGTGTTGCGATCACTTACTTTGTTTTTACCGTTTTACTTCAGATACGTAGATGATATTGCTATGGCTGTACCATTTAATTCGATTGACACAATACTACAGGTATTTAATTCTTATCAGTCTTATCACCCTAGGTTACAATTTACCTATGAAATAGGAGGTGACAGATTAAACTTTTTAGATGTAACAATGATAAAAAACAATAATACTCTCGAATTTGATGAGTTCCATAGATGAGTTTCATAAACCGACGTTCTCAGGCCGTTATCTTAATTTCTTATCGCAGCACCCTATTTCCCAAAAAGAGGCACAGTTATGGGCATGGTCGATAGGGCATTTCTACTTTCACATCCGACATATCATTTAAAAAATCTTAAATTCGTAATAGACATTCTCTTAGAGAATGACTACCCGTTGACATTCATTTTTAACACTATTAATATTAGAATTAAATCTCTGCTAATCAAATGCACTCGAAAACAGAATGAACCTTCATCAACGAACGAAGAGAGACAACGTATATGGTTTACAGTACCATATGTCTCTAATATATCCGAAAAATTTAAAAGAGTTATTACAGATGTTAACTTATCGTTCTATAGTCTGAATAAACTTGATAAGTTTATTAAAGTGCAGAAGGATATTCTCCCTATCCAATCAAATAAAAATGTAATGTATAAAATTTCATGTAAAAATTGTGACGTGTCATATGTTGGTCAGACGATGAGGCAATTAAAAATGAGAATTTCGGAACATCGTAACCATATTCGCAGAAATACAACAACCTAGCCTGTTATTACTAAACATAAAATTAATTTCGACCACGAATTTGGGAGAACGTTGAAATCCTAGATAGGGAACGATATTTAGGAAAACGACTTGTTTCAGAGATGTCTCATATCAAGCTACAAAAAAATAGTCTCAACTTGCAAACGGATACAGAGTTCATGCACCATGCATACGTGTCTATTCTAAATAAATTGTAAACCATGCCCAGAAACAATTTGCGTCGTACCGCCTGACATTGCTTATACATAGAATATTTAGTTTCATTTCTTACTGGCTTTATCTATACGTTTATAATTTCATTGTTTATACACCGAATATTTATTAGTTTTATTTTCTTACTTATTTGACCGACACGTTTTATAATTTGACTTGACCTACACGTTTACAATTTTCATTGTTTATACACCGAATATTTATTAGTTTTATTTCTTACTTATTTGACCTACACGTTGTATAATTTGACTTAAGACCTCTTCCTGTTAATACCGTTTCGTGCGTCGTGCCGTCGGGATCTCAGAATCCCTTGTGCAGATTATACATTTTTCTCTGTGATGTTCACACCGCATTTATATACCCGCCTTGCTTGGCTTATTCTGATGCATTTGTTCTCCAGACTACTTGGTGAATTACCATATAATTTTAAATTAATACTTGGTGTAATAAGGTAACTATTTTTACAGATATGGATCTAGTAATCTTTTTCAATTTCGTTTTTGAAATCTCCAAGCAGAAAACTTACCACTTTAGAATGGAGAACTGTGTAATATTTTAATTTTATCGTCGTTTGATATCGTTGAAGATGACTCGATCTATGAGCTGAAACGTTCGATCGTAATTCATTTTGAATGGATTTGGAATAAATCAGTGATTCTGATCATCTACGCACAGACAACTGCGTTTGACTCTCATAGCCATCCTATTACGAATTTCCAATTTCGAGAGTCCTAAATTATTAGTCTATAGAAAATACTTATGTATGCTCAAAACTATACGAAAAATATTTAAATTATATAAGCCGGACCTCCGAGATTTAGCATCTCAACTTAGTATGCTTATTATATTGTAATTTTGTCTTTATTGCCTTATAATTAATTTTTTTATTTTTATATGGCAGAACTCTATAGAATTCGTATAGAACTATAGATCTCGCAAAATCTGACAAGATATAGTGACGAAACTCGTGTAGAACAAAGTGAGACTGCTAGTGAGCTGTGTGAACCTGGCGTCTCAGTTTGTCCGGCCCCATTTTTTCTGTTTAATAGGCAAAACCATCCACCTATAGTATGGACTGCATGATGTAAGTCGAAAGTGTGTATCAATGTACAAGAAGGACAGCAGGCGATTGCGACCATTATCTATCGCATTCTACACAACACTGTAATATTAGTCGAAAAGAGACAGAGATTGGCCGCACACGTGCTGTATCTAACTCAATTTTAGAACGTGTTTCGTATGCAAATAAAGTAGAGATCGCGAAGTCCATACTATAGACTACTATAAAGTATAGGTCGATGGGTAAAACTATTTGTTTATAACGTATCGGAAACTTTAATTGAAACTATAATTAAAAAGGAAGCCAGAACTCTCAATAGTTTGTGAGTTTCCGCAAAATGAGATGCCAGATTGACACAACATTACATGACAAAAAAGATTTTCTTTCAGCCTGTATTATTTAATAAACAAACATTTTTACATGGCCAAACATGTTCGACATTACATTTTCTTCTTAAATGTATAGAAAAACTATTTTAAAAAAGTTATTTATACTTGTTGAGTAATTGTGTAAGCAATTTACCGCACTCATCTTTTCTCGTGTTCAAAGGTGTTATCTCCACTTAAACAACTTAAACATTTTCTTGTTTTTCTTTTTGACTCTTACTCTCTTACAACTTGCGCAAAATACGACAAATAATATCAATTATAATAAAATAGGATATGATCAAGTTGATTGCATATCCACTAATTATACATCCATTTTTAAGCAATTAATATTTAGGTTTTTCAAGAATTTTTTAAATTGATAAATAATTTTAAAATTAGTAAACATTGCTATACTCTTTTGTTGCATAGATTTTTGACAAATTCTTATTGCAAATACACTTTCAAATGCGTTTTATGTATTTGGAGTCCTTTTTTACCTTTGTAAAATATCAGAAATCCTTAAAGCAAAAGATTCAGTTGCAAAACTACATATTGTAGAACAGAACTACATATCTTTGAATTCCATTTTCTCATTATTAAAATAAGATATTCAAATCTTTTTTTTCTTCTTTTTCTTATAGTATCATAATTGGCTATCTTTTGATGCATGCTTTCTTTTAAATAAGATTTTTGTTTTTAATTTTAATTATTCAAAAAAATATCAGTGTTTCATGACTGCGTACCAAAATTAACTTCAGTTAACTAAAATGCTATAGTGTACATAACGTAAACTATAGATTTTAGTTACTCAGAGTAAATTTTGGAACGCAGCCCATAATATTGATCGCTTGTAATTTTTGATAAAATAAGAATTTTCTAAAATCGAAAGATCGTAGTTCATATATTTGCAGAGATATAAGAAAAAAATTATCAAAATTGATTCAGAGTGTTCTTAAGTAAAAGATACATAAAAATCAAAAGATATGATTTTATGGGAGAGTGCTTCGAAGATTTTGGATCTTACTATTTAATCTTATGTCTCTTGTAATAATTTTTTTTTTCAAATTACAACTTTAGCGGGCTCCACACACAGAGATATATAGGTATCAAGAAACAGTATCATGATACCGACTCGATAAGACATGTCTCAGTATGCACTATACACACACCGCAATATGTAGCAGGTATCTTTTGTCTCTAGTACTGAGTACATAATTTTTGGAAGTGAGGTGTCAACTTCACAGTGGCGATTAGCGGGGATCTGCCGCGATATTACCATACACACTCGAAAACAAGCTGAGACATATCTCAGTATCATTGTTTCAGTCTCTATGGCCTAGTTTACACCGATCACTTGATACGCGTATTAAATAGTAAATAACTAGTAAATAAGTCGGATTATTGGCTGATCAGTTCAAATATACTATTTGATACGCGTATCAAGGGATCGGTGTAAACTAGGCCTATGTATTCCATCGACAGCGGGAAACTAGATTCATGTATCGATATTTGTTGATACTTATTGATAAGTACCGCATGAAACCTTTGGAGACATACCTAGACACAATGAGACATGTCTCATGAGACAGTGTCACGATACCGTTTCTTGATATATATCTGTGTGTGTAGTCAGCTTTTAAGTAGCCATTTAAGATATAGAAAGTTGCAGCGAATATTAAAAAAAAAAATATATATATATATATATATAATATATTAAATATTATTCGAATCCTAGAAAATGAAACTTAATTATTGGAGTTGACTCGGATTTTCAAATACATAGTGAAATTTAATCTCAACTCCAGTTATTTATCTTCTTTCTTAGATACTTTAACATAACAAACATTTTATATAGATAATAATGTACAGGAAACAATCTATTCTTTTTCAAAATAAAAAAAATTGATAAATATGTTGGTAATATTTGTGTGCTCTTTAAACTCTTTTTTTTATTTTTGCCTCCTATAACTTTGCAAGATATAACAATCAACAAGACAAACGGATCTATAAATTACTGATCTGTTCAGACAATCTACCTTTGGTAAATCATGTATAACAATTCAAAAAGATATATAGCTTTAAAATTACACCAACCTGCGGATCTCACTTATGACATTTTCTTTTGTCCGAGAAGCGATGAATGCTAGAGAAGATTCATCCACGGAGAAACCGCCAATTCCTCCGCTGAAGTTTTTTACGAAACATTTTCTAGAATGCTGTCTGTTTTAGGACGCTCAAGAATAACGTTGTCGGTCCTTTGCTCAATAAAAAATTTCCGATAATAAGCACTTTCACTCGACGATTTTCCAATGCAATACACATTCTCTGATTATTACGTCCTAACCTAAAAGCATAACGATCACAGCTGCAGAAACGATCTCTACGCGTACTTAATGATCGTCGTTAACGCAACTGCACAGTCGAAATAAGATTATCGATTGTAATTACTCGCAGCCGTCGACGATTTCACATACGTACGAGGCAAAGCGGAGTACAGAGAAGAGACGAAAAACTATATAAAAGTATTTAAAGTTGTATGGATTTTACATGGATTTTACAGTGCAAGCACTGTAAGCATGAAGCAGTGCGAAGTGAGAAGCGCTAGAGTAGAAGAGACGCATACAATCACTCAATTCTTTCGCGCGAGAGGGCGTCATGCGATGCACCCTTTAAAATCCCTAGAAGTAAAGGCTATCGCCACAGATAATCTGTGCTATCGCACACAAAATGCATAGAACATAGTCATAAGGGCTCAGTCACAATGAGAGGAATAAGGAATAAGATAAAGGAATAAGGAATAAGGGAATGTTGCATCTCACTTCAGTACACGTACATTAAAGTGAGATGCAATATGCCTTATTCCTAATTCCTTTATCTTATTTCTTAAGCCCCTTGCACAATGCCAGACAACAGGCAATAGGAACAGGAAATAACCAAAAAATCGTTAATTACACCTAAAAAGTTTGAATGCTATGATTGGTTGGCAACAGGCAATAGGCACAAAATTTCCAACGTGACGGAAACTCTGTGTCTATTGCCTGTGTCACTGTTTATTCTGCATTTATACATGATTTCTGATTTCTATTCCCTGTTCCTATTGCCTGTTGCCTGGCATTGTGCAAGGGGCTTTATTCCTCTCATTGTGACTGAGCCTTAACATAGCATAGATATAATGCGACCTCATCTAGATAAGAGAAATTGGAGAGCATTACCGACAGAACAGCGGCTTATTATTACGCTGGTATTTATAAATGCTTTAAATTTTTATTTTAAATATAATAAGAAATAAAAATAAAAATGTAATATATGATATAATATAATATAAAATATGTATAATAAATGTAGGTAATAATAATGATAACAAATATAAATACATATATATATATATATATAGATATATAACCTAACCTAACCTAACCTAATTAATATTTCGTGTCGCGGGGCAGAGCGACACTTTTTTCTGCCAGATTCTTTCGTTTCGTGCAAAAACGCGTCGATTGAGCATAAATTCATCGATATTTGAGGTAAGGCCCCTAAACTGTATAATTATCCAAAAATAATATTATTATAAATATTAAATAAAAAATATAAAAATAATTAATATATTATTATAATATTATAATAATAAATATATACCTAATAATTAATAATTATTTATGAATATTATTACACAATATTATATTTTATATTACAATAACAAAGACAGTGAAACGAGACTAATCGAATCCTTTTTTTATTGGAACTTTTCGACACCCTCGCTCTTGCGATCGCGACACGAACATTTATAATTAATACTTATACTTAAGAAATACATTTCCTCTGATAACAAAATCTGTCAAAAGCAGATAATTATAATATATATATCCCTCCGAGAACACATTGGGTCAATTTGACCCTGCTTTTTTGCTTTTGTTTTTTTTTTTAATAAAAAAAATAAAATTTTGTTCGTAAATTACGTTTTTTTAAAAAAAAACTCAAAAATTAAAAAAATGTTTTTCAAAAAAATTATTTTTTTTAAATTTTTTTAAATATGTAAATAATTCCAACGGCACTTTTTATTTATATCAATTGATTTAACAATTAATGTTCCAAGTACATCTGGAAATTTTTTCAAGCTGATTGCACTTGTCAATTTAAAATGGTAGACGATCAAAGTGTGTGTAGTAGTAGGTGAGTCCAGAAGGCTAAATGGCGATTTACTCGAGCGCGGCAGATTAATATAGGGAGATACCTTGCACCCTGTTGAGTACCTCCACTATATATATATATATATATATATATATATATATATATATAT